GGTTTTTTAATAGAAAACAAAAAAAAAATATTAAATGTAGGAAAAAATGACATATCCTACAAATGACTAATTTAAAAAATTTAAACAAATAATATTATATGTTTGGCAACAAGTGGGTGCAAATTCGAGCGGGGTGCAAGTTGAGGGGCAAATTCGAGCGGGGTGTAAGTGAAGGGGTAAATTGTTGTTTGGATGCAAAAATTAGGCCAGGGGTGTAAATAGAGTGAAAAGTGAGTAATTATACTATTATAAAATAGATTTATCAAAATTATAAAATATTACCACAAAATAATAAATGAAATAATAATATAATTAATAAAATAATTATTATATAATAATGGTCAAATAATAATTAATTTTATTAACTGTAGTAATCATTGATCGAGCGATCTCGAAGCTCGAAGCCCAACTCGTAACTGGTCATCCTACATGGTTCTCGTGTATAATTTAACTTTAAATTGAATATGGTCAAACATAGTCAAACACGTTCGAATCTATAAGTTTTAACTATATAGTCAAGTAAACTAAGTCAACCAACCCATTCCTCGCATCCTACACTAACATTGATAAACTTGCTCAGGAGTCAAACGGTCTACCCCGAACATATCAACATTAATGATAACTATAAGAGAAGAAATTGATAATATTAATTATTATATAATTACAAAATTATTTTATAAATAATCCCTCCTCCCCCCCTCCCCTCCCCTTTCTCTTCCTTCCCTTGCACCCTAATTTAAAGGATAAGTCAAAACAGTAATTTTGCACCCCAATTTTGCACCCCAATTTTGCACCCGATACTATTTCAAATTAACCAAAGAGATGCAAATATGTTAAAAACCCTATAGTGTTACATTTCTCAATTGAGCACTGATTTTATAAATTGATCATGCAAACCCCCTAAATCTACCTGCCACCCATTTGTAGACATGAGCACTTCTACTATACTATATAGTATTGGTGCTTTAATGTACAACTTTAGGTTGTACCACACAATAAATGTATAAGTTTAGGTTGTACCATAAAGGAATTTGTATCATTATGTTATGGTATAACTTTACAATTTGAAGTTGTACCATCACATAAAGGTACAAGTTCAAGTTGTACCATAAAAGAATTTGCACAAAAAGTATAGGTACAATTTGAAGTTGTACCATAACGTTAAAGGTACAATTTGAAGTTGTACCATAACGTTAAAGGTACAATTTCAAGTTGTACCATAAAGATAAAAACCTATAGCACCAATACTCAGGGGTGGGCAACAATTCGATTCACATATGACCGAATCGACTCTCACACCGAATCAAATCAAACTGTTTATCTTTCGATTCGACTTTGGTTCATGAATTTGGGACATTTTTCGGATTTGGTTCGGTCTAGACCGAAACCGTAAAATCAAGCTAAGGACCGGACCGAATCGTAATTAAATTAAGGTTAAATACACTTGTATATCCAAAACTTTCACGGTTGTGCCAATAATATCCAAATTTCCCGAAATACCACTTATATCCAATTCCTTCACATTCTTTAAAGGTGTTTTTGGATATACAAGTGTTTTTAACAAAAAATATATTGGGAAATGGATAGATTTGGCAAAGAACAACTTTAAAACATGGATATAACTTATAAGTGGTATTTCGGGAAATTTGGATATTATTGGCACAATCGTGAAAGTTTTGGATATACAAGTGTATTTAACCTTAAATTAATTGCCTATTTTATTAGGCTCTGAGAAGGAAAGTCGACTTGGAGTTGAGAACCATAGTACTGTACATGCCACTTAATTACCTATAAATATGATTGACTTTTCCTGACTTTGACTCGCCGCTCTCGATCCTATAGTCCTATCCTATAATCAGAGTTCTCATCCGCGTTGCTTCGATCAAGAGAGCTGCTTACTTTACATACACAATGTGAACCAGGTAATTATTTTCTGTTTTCTTTTCTTGTTTAATGTTTCAGATATGGAGAAGATGCAAATAAATGACACCATAGATACTTCTGCCAAGTCTAACAACACCACTGCAAATTAGCAAGTTTAAGAATCATTTATTTTATTGCACTAGTTCTTGGAGTAAGTGTAATTTTATTAAACTCCTTTCTAATGAACAGTGGAAATTATGGAGATTGGGAGGTCCAATGTGCAATCTAAAAATAAAAATGGAAGATTAGAGAGGCAATTAGTTAGACTACTTTGAGATTGAATAAAAAGACTTTTGTCTTTTAGTTAAGTAGTTCTCGTTTAGCTTTTTGCATAATATTTTGGAACATGTGAGTTTTAAGAGTTGTGGAGTATTTAAATTGGGATAATTTGATTACTTCTTTGGATTTTGCTATAGTGACATGCATGTCACCGTGACATGGACTTTTCGGTCGACCTAATCCAACATGTGGTCGACCGAACGGGCTAATTCATATATGTGGGGTTCCGAGACGCGGTCGACCTCTTACATAATATGGTCGACCGCTTTGGTGGTCTAACAGAATGAAAGGAGCTCGAGACGAGCCAATGGCGGAGGCACAGAGTTCAACTCCAACGATCACCTTAGAGCGTGTGTGGGAGCGCATGGATGGCATGTACGAGTACATGGGCCAGATGTCCACCCAGATGACTGGCATGTACGACTACATGTGGCAAATGACCGCCCAGATGAGCACAATGCAGGTGACCGTGAATGAGATGCGAGATGAGTGGCGATCTTTCAGCGGAAGATACATGCATCCCCCCACATCCGACCACCATCATGCTAGCACCACCAATGAAGAAAATGTGGATGAGGGAGAGAGGGGAGATGAGTAGGAGCGCGAAGATTTTAGATTGTGTGTTTTTATTGTTAAGTGGTCAAAACGATTGTTGATTGTTATTCTGTTGTTTTTTTAGTTTTATTTTTATGTGTGAACAATTATGATTTCTGTTTTATTGTATTTCTTGTTAGTTTGATTAGTTGTTATGCTATGAATTGATGAGTCCTTGTTATCATTATTTATGACTATTTATGATGGTTTGAAACATAATTTATACGATCAAAAGAACCACACAAATCGACATACATAAGCAAAAAAGACACGGGGCATAGGTTGACTTTCTTGTATTCGGTCGACCTCGTACCAGATTAGTTCGACCGCGAAACCAACACTTGATCTTCATTTTACGTCAAATGATTGGACACTTTGATAGAACACTTATCTTCTATCTGGTCGACCTCTTTTCTTATCCGGTCGACCAGTTTGTTAATGACTGCCATCAAGTGGTAGACCTATATACCTTAGGTGGTTGACCATGTTGTTTCTGACGCTAACGAAATGGCCGACCGAGGTTTTATTTTGGTCGACCAAAAATAACAACTTAAACTAAGTGCGGTCGACCAGGTGGTCGTTGAGGTCGACCGCAATGCTTTCTCGTGCTGCCCAAATTAGTCAATTCGGTCGACCGCCTTCAGGAATAGGTCGACCGAAAAGTGCATGTCACCGTGACATGCATGTCATAGTAGGCATACTCTACTTCTTTTTATGTAGTTACATTTTTTTAATTCTTGTGTTGTCCTTTAAGGGTGATTTTATTCGAATGAAAGATTAATCGGTCCAATGGGATGGTTCGGACCGAATCAAGCCATATATGGTTTGATCCCGACCGAATCGAAATGATAACGATTCGACTTTGGTCCTTAATTTAGAAGAAATTTTGGTCCGATCCGAGGATAGTCTTGTCAAGTCGTGAACCGAATTGACCGATGTCCAACCCTTAATGCGGTATAGCATTGTAAAATTCCTCAAGACATTTATATAAACCATAACACATACACAACACGTGGGTACGAGCTTCCAACTAACCAATTATATATGTTGTCAGGAAAAAAAGAGAGGGGATTCACCAATAACCAATAATTTTCTGACGCTTCTCTTTAATTTTTTTTATTTTATGAATTTGAGCCAATTGTTTCGACTTGATTGCCCCGTTCTTTTCCCCCTTCTCATTTGGCTTGCTGGGTCATCGCGCGGAGAAATGACGACCGTCCTCGCCCACCGGCCATCAACACGACTATGGCCCCACCCTTAACCCTTTCCTTCTAATAAAGCCGGGACCGGGACAGTGGACACCACCTTGTCATATCCTATCCTACCTTTCCAAGATTCCACCTTATTCATCGGATTCACCAAAATGCCCCTCCTCTTTTACCCGTCAGTCGAAAGCAACTAATAATTATTCAAGCTCTCCATTGAAATCAGGCTAATTTCTCAAAATAAATGGCTACAAATAATCATTCTGACGTAATTAGCCGGGTAGGAAATCCAGTCCTATCCGATCCAATGTCATTCCTTCTGCAAGATTCTGTTCTTAAATTCACCAAAATGGCCTTGTCTTTCATTTTATCTCTTTAATATATATATATTAGTTGAAATTAGAGTTAATCTCCTAGTGTAACTTTCGTAAAAAAAACGCTTACTTAAACCGTTAAAATTACGTTATTTTCACAACACCGACGACTGCAAAACGATCTTCCTGACAAATATTATCCAAAATTGAGAAATCCAATCCTATACTTTAGCAAGTTCCCATTCTTTTTCTTACAATCATTTATTATATTAGCCGAAGTCACACTAAATCTTCCTCGTAATTCGCTTAAAAGAACTAAATCTACTCAACAATTAAACCGTTAAAATCACGTCAATTTCTCAACATAAATGGCTACAAACAATTCTTCTGACAAAGATTTCCGAGAATTGAAAAATCCAGTCTGATCCCATGTCTTTCTCACACCAAAATTAAAAATAATCGATTAATTAATTCCTAAGCTTAAATATGAAATCATGTTTACGAGAGATTCGGTAAGAGTTTGATTGTCCAGATTTAGAAACGGAAAAAGCAAATGAAATCATCAACGTTCAAAAGGGCAAAGAAGTAACTTTCCTTCAGACGTAACCGGATTTTTCTCTCACCGTATTTCTTTCTTCACAAGTGCGACGCCACTTTTATAATTTATTTCATCTTTTCTCGGTGTCGTAATTTGTCACGCTCTTCTTCTTCTCTCATCTCGCCAAATAGAATAGTACTGCCAAACAGACAGCATAAAAACTAGAAAAAAGCAAAGCAAACAACTAAAGACAGTGAGAGGGAGAGAGAAAGAGAGCGGCAGAGTGAATCGCAACAAACAGAGATCTCACCTCTGCCATGGGTTGATTGGTACCTTCACCGGAAAGTAAACGAGCAAGGAAAAGAGGGCTGCCGTGCCAAAGAGGTGGCTTCTCGATCGCCAACGATAGAGGAAGGCTGCTCAGACCTGGAATTCTGTTTTCTCTCCTTCCGGTGAGTCTCTCTATCATCTTTTGGCTGTTTGCGAAGCCGCCATGCTAGTTGAATTGTTTGTTTCTCTTGAATATTCCTCCGCCGTCGTCAATTTTGTCGTCCCTGTCCTTTTCCGCTTGAATTTTCCTCTGCTCTTGAGTTGTGATTTCTGTACGAACGTTTAGTTTCCTCGATCATTTTTGGTTTCCGATCGCACCCTGTTGCTGGTGAAAAGAAAACTCACCGCGATTTGCTGAATTGAAGTTTTCCCCCTTCTCATCTGTCCTTGTGTTTCTAATCAACGCATTTGTCGCTGCGTTGTCCTCTTCTTACGGTATGGAATTCGCTGCTGGTGGATCAGGTTTCTGTTTGTGAACTGCTGAGACAGCCGTTACTCGTCCGTTCAGAAGTGATCGCACTACTGCAGCGTTTTCAGTGATCACGTAGGTATCTAGCTTTCCTCCTGAGTTTATTTGTTAAAAAAAAAGAGCTCGATCTCATCGAATTACGGTTTCTGATTCGCTTTCTAACTGATTCCGCAACCTTCTCTCTGTTTTCTTATTTCTTTTCCCCAGGTTTCCTTTCTCGAATTTTGGCGTGGATACGGTTAAGGAGTGGAGATATTACGTTGCCAAGCTTTGGCCTAGCGTCTGGATAGACAGTTATCGCTTCTGTCTGGGTTTTTGGTTATTTGGAGACTTGCAAATTCTGAGAACTGTCCGTTATTAAGCTATGGCGGCCCAGGCGAAGTCTAGGCGTATGTACTCCTGGTGGTGGGACAGCCACATCAGCCCCAAGAACTCAAAATGGCTTCAGGGGAATCTCACAGGTAATTGGTTATTTTGCATCATTTTGAAACCAAAATTGTTCTCATGTGCTTACACACTTCACCTATGGTACCATGAGCTGTTTACTTGATCCAGTGTCAGGTTGGTTTACAAGTAACCCATCTCGCCTCAGGGGAGTTGTGTGCTACTTGATGGGATGACATTATCATTTATAATTGTGACTTGATGAATGCTGCTGATCAATCTTCTTTGCGTTATGCACACTGATGAAATTAGTCCACTTGGAAATCTTGGAAAATCTGTTACTCGGTGTTTGCTATTTTGCTTTATCAGCTTTTGTACTGTTCGACTGAGCTATTAATGCCTCCACTAACTCATTTTATTGACACAACAGATATGGACTCCAAAGTTAAACAAATGATCAAGCTTATTGAAGAAGATGCGGATTCGTTTGCAAGAAGGGCAGAGATGTATTACAAGAAGCGTCCAGAACTTATGAAATTGGTTGAAGAGTTCTACAGAGCATACCGTGCCTTGGCTGAAAGATATGATCATGCTACTGGTGTTATCCGCCAGGCTCATACTACTATGTCCGAAGCGTTTCCCAACCAGGCTCAGTTTGCTCTAGGTGACGATTCACCAGCGGGCACTGTTGTTGATGGTGATCCTCATACACCTGATCTTCCTTCTATCCGTGCGTTTGTGGATCATGATGATTTGGACAAGGATGATTCGGGAGTCTCACCATCGCAATATTATACTGCAAGGAGAAGTGGCGGCTTTATTGACGAATCTGATTCGTTTGTTAGCAAAAAGGGTGTGAAACATTTCAATGATTTGCTTGGTTCTGGAGAAGGGATGGGAAGAGTGAGAAAAGGCCTTAATTTTCAGGATGTGGGAGACAAAGACAAAAATAACGGAGGCCATGACCGGGTTGCCATTGCTGAGCTGGAAATTTCCACCTTGAAGAATGCCCTTGCTAAATTAGAAGCTGAAAAAGAAGCTGACCTACGCCAGTACCAGCAGAGTATGGAAAAATTGACCAACCTGGAGTCAGAAGTGTCTCGTGCAAGAGAAGATTCTTTTGGACTCAACGATCGAGCCTGTAGAGCTGAAGCAGAGGTTCAGACTCTAAAGGAAAACCTGACTAAGTTTGAAACTGAGAAGGAAACCATCTTTCTTCAATATCAGCACTGTCAAGATAAAATAATTAGCCTAGAGAAGAATGTATCTTGTGCCGAGCAGAACATGGGAGAGTTAAATGAGCGAGCTAGTAAAGCTGAGAATGAAGCTCATTCTCTAAAAGAAGATGTGGCTAGATTAGATGCTGAAAAGGAAGATTCTATTGTTCAGTATAAACAATGCTTGGAGAGGATATCTGAACTGGAGAGCAAATTACTACAAGCTGGCGAAGATGCAAGGACTTTTAGAAATCGAGCTGAAAAGGCTGAAGAGGAAGTTGAAAGATTGAAGCTGGAACTGACTAAGCTATCTGAGGAGAATGAAGCTATTGCAGTTCGTTTTCAGCAGTGTCTCGATACAATACAAACACTAGAGCATAAACTTGCTTGTGCTGAGGAGGAAACCCAGAGGCTGAACTCTGTCATAGACGATGGGATTTCCAAGTTGAAAGGTGCTGAAGAGAAGTGCTCGATTTTGGAGAGGTCAAATCAGACCATGCATTCTGATCTTGAGTCTTTGCTACAAACAATGGCAGTGCAAAATGAAGAAATTAAAGAGAAGCAAATGGAACTTGGGAGACTTTGGGGTTGCGTGCAAGAAGAGCATTCGAGGTTTGTGGAGGCCGAGACTGCTTTTCAAACCTTGCAGCAGTTGCATTCTCAATCTCAGGAAGAACTCAGGTCTTTGGGTGCGGAGCTTCACAACAGGGTTCAGATTTTAGAGGACCTCGAAGCTCGTAACCACAGTCTAGAGACCGAGGTTCGCAAGGCTGAGGTCGAGAACAAGAACCTGAGTGAAGTCAACTTATCTTCTGCTCTAACAATACAGAACTTAAATGATGAGATGTCTAGCTTGAGGGAGCTGATAGGTAAACTTGAATCAGAGATTGAACTTCGTGTGAACCAAAGAAATGCTCTTCAGCAGGAAATTTATTGCCTAAAGGAAGAACTAAATGAGATTAACAAGAATCACCGGGGTATCATGGAACAGGTTGAATCAGTCGGCTTGCACCCGGAGTGCTTTAGCTCATCTGTGAAGGATCTGCAGAATGACAATGCAAAGCTGAAAGAGGCATGTGAAAGCAACGCAAGTGAGAAACTAGAACTTTTGGGGAAGTTAGAGGTCATGGAGAATCTTGTAGAGAAGAATACTTTCTTGGAGAACTCTTTGTCTGATTTGAACGTGGAGCTGGAAGGGGCTAGGGAGACAATGAGAAAATTAGAAAACACATGTCAATCACTCATGGGAGAGAAATATGTTCTTGTCTCTGAGAAGACTGCATTGATCTCTCAGTTGGAGACTGTAACCAATACTTCAGAGAAGCTCATGGAGGAAAACACCATTTTGGAGACATCCCTCCTTGATGCAAATGCTGAACTTGAAAAGCTTCGACAAAAAGCAAACAGGTTGGAAGAGCTATGTCTTTTGCTTGAGAATCAGAAGTCTGATCTGGCTACTGCTAAAGCGAGTTTAACTTCTCAGCTGGAGGATCATGAGAGAAGTTATGGAAACTTGGTGGAGAGACACTCAAGCCTTGAGAATGAGAAACTGTCCATGCTTCACAAAGTAAAAGAGCTACAGGTTTGTTTGGAAACCGAAAAGCAACAACATGTTGCGTTTGCACATCACAGTGAGTCGCAGATCAATTCACTACAAGAAGAAGCTAAGCTCAAGAAGAAAGATTTTGAGGAGGAAATCGACAAAGTCATTAAAGCTGAGATTGAAATCTTCGTCTTGCAGAGATGCATACAAGATCTGGAAGAGAACAACTCTTCCCTCTTGCTAGAGTGTCAAAACCTTTTAAACGCATCAAAACGGTCAGAGAAACTGATTTTAGAACTCGAGCATGAAAAGCTGGAGAGAAAGGAGGAGGTAAAATGTCTGTCCGATCAACTTCAAACACTGAGGCTGGGGATTTATAGATCATCGAAGATTTTTGGACTCGACATAAGTCTGTGGGAAACAGATGAGGCTGGACTTCTAAACCAAGTTGTGAACAAGCTCGAGGAAACACAAAACCTTCTCTTCAAGACGCAGGAGGAGAATCAACAGTTATCCATCGAGAAATTTGTTTTTGTCACGCTGCTTGCGGAACTGCAGAGCGAGCTTGCTAATCTCGTGATTAAGAAGAACAGCGTTGATCAGAAGTTGAAGACCAGTACCGAGCAGCTGTTGGTTTTAAAGAGCGAGGGACAGAAACTTACGGAGTTGAATGAGCAGTTAACGCTGAATGGGGAGCAGAGAGAAATAGCCTTGAGTGCTGAACTCAATGCTGTGCATGCAAAACTGTCAGAGTTACAAGAAGCCTACAGAAAGGTAGAGAAAGAAAATTGCAACCTCTCTTGTGAGCACAAGTCCCTAGAGGAGGAAATGTGTGGAGTTATGTCCCAAACGGTATATGAAACTACCCTGTCTCTGATTTTCAAGAGTGTCATCGGTGAAAAGTTTGTTGAGATCAAGCTACTCTACGACAAACTGGATGAAGCAGTCAATTGCAATAATGCTCTGAATGAGAGGGTCAAGATATTGGAGGTGAAATTGGACGAGCTTGTCATGCTGGGGGATGAGAAAGAGGTGTTACACCAAAAAGAGCTGGAGGGTCTGAAGTCCAAGTACGAAGAGGTTGAAGCTATAAAAGCAAGTCAGGAAAAGCAGCTGATAAAGCTATCTGGAGACTATGATGAGCAGAGCAGGGAGGTGAAATGCATCAATGGCGTCAAGAATGAGCTGGAGAGTGAAATAAGCAAATTACGTGGGGATTTAGTGGAAATTAAAAATAGAGAGATCTTTTTGAATGAAGAACTGGGGAAGGCAAGAACCGAGGCTGAACTATGGGAGTCTGAAGCCGCTGTCTTCCTGGGCGAGATGCAGAGCTCTGCTGTCCGAGAGGAATTGTTTGGAGGTAAGGTTCATGAGCTGATTGAAGTATGCAAGAGCTTTGAAGAGAGAATTTTCTCCACGGAAAAGGATCTGTCCCAGCTGAAGGAAAGAGTGAGCACCTTAGAGAGCGAAAATGGAGATCTCAACGGGAAAATGAGTGCATGTATCCCTGCCTTCGTAGCTTTGATGGATAGCGTAGCATCACTGGAAAATCATGCTCTTTCAAATACGACGACACTTTCTCAAGGCGAGATGGAGCAAGCAGAGGTAAATTTTTGTTTCTGTCTGTACATGCATCTAAACTTTGGTTTAAAGCTCTAAAAAATTGCAGCATATTATTTGTAAACCACTACCTTAATAGTTCAGACAGGCAAGTGATATATATCTAAACTTGAATGGCTGAAATTGCTAGGAACCTACCCTATGCACTGAATTATTTTCCTTAAAGAGTCATTTCCAAGTGATTTTCTAATGTTGAAAGACATGGGAGAATATGAACCAATTTTGTTGGACCATTTTTGCTTGCGGGGTTTATTTAATCTCATTGGTATTATTGCCTTGGAGTTTGGAACTCCAGCAATCTAGGGCCGTGGCTTTATTTTGTGAGCTCCTAGTTTGGTTCGTATTGCAGTTCTGGTCTTTGGCTTTCTAGCATATTTTATCTAAAGGTTTTGGACTTCTTTTTTTCAGTTCCAGGATGCTCCATCACAGTTGCAGGAAGAATCCCTCGGGGAAGAAACAAATAAAGACCAGAGATCAATGTTTTTGGACCTCCAAGAACTACAAAAGAGAATCAGGGCAATTGAAAATGCAGTCAAGGAAAAGGAGAGACTGATTACTCTTGAAAACACAACTGCAAACACCAAGCTCGAGGCCGCGATGAGAGAGATTGAAGAGTTGAAATCTGGAAGCAGCATGGCGGCTGAAGGAGGCAAACCTGTTGTTAACCCCAAAGCAGGAGCTAGATCGAAGAGTATTGACCTCAGGATGCAGAAACGAACACGTGGAATCTCAGATGGTAGCGAAGTAATGACAAAGGACATAATACTCGATCAGGTCTCCGAGAGTGGAAGCATCAGAAGGTATCCTTCAGTTGAAACTCGGGAAATCTGGGAAGCTGCTGATGATGACGGTAGCATCGACATGACTGTTGGAAAATCTCACAAGATGTCCAGTGGTAGAAAGAATCACAGCAGCCGAGATCATCCCTCTGCAGAATCCATACAGTTCGAGAAAGAGGTTTCCGTGGACAAACTACAGATCTCCAGGAGATTCTCAGGGTCATTCTCCCAGGATGCTACTAGCGAGAGAAAGATTCTGGAGAGACTGGATTCTGATGCTCAAAAGTTAACAAACCTTCAGATAGTTGTGCAAGATTTGAAGAGAAAGGTGGGAGTCGATGAGAAGGGCAAGAAGGTTAAAGGAATTGAGTACGAGAATGTGAAGGAGCAGCTGGATGAATCGGAGGAGTCCATCATGAAGTTGTTCGACTTGAACCGGAAGATGATGAAGAACGTTGAAAATGAGTCCTCAACATCTTCCTTGTCGGCCTTGGATGATGAGAAAGCTGCTGCTCGCAAGAGGAAAATCTTTGAGCATGCCAGAAGAGGGTCGGAGAAAATAGGGCGATTGCAGTTGGAGCTGCAGAAACTGCAGTTTCTTCTGCTGAAGCTCGATGATGAAGAAAACAAGAGTGGCAGGGGCAAACCTAGAGCTCCTGAGCGGAATGCTAGTGTCCTGCTGCGTGATTATCTCTATGGTGGAACAAGATTAACCCCGAAGAACAAGAAGAAGTCACATTTCTGTTCTTGTATGCAGCAGCCTGCAACTAGAGGAGACTGAGGAGGCGGCTGTGGCGTATCTGCCTTTTGCGGGATCTCCATTTATCGGTAGTGATTTTATGTAATTAAGGTCAAAGGCGAAGCTCTTTGTTGCGTCGAGCACCAGTTTTTCTCCTTTTTAATGCTTTACTTTGGTTTGCTACAAGTTGGATCTAGCGTTTTCGTATTTGAGATCCTGCTGTAAAATTTTCTGGCTGATTCTTATCAAGACCAGCTTCTCTCGTACAGTTTCTTCTTTTTCAATGAGTTTGTCTCTGCCTTTGCTTGCATCTTTCCAAGAACATAGTTTTTCATTTCCGGATATCTAGTAGTGAATGAATGGTGAATGAATAGCAGCGATAAACAAACAAAATGGAACACAGGAGTTTGCATTTCATACTGCCATTACATAAGACAAGTCCTTGAAGCATTTGCTCACTCTGCCATACAATGGTCTTTCTTGTGACACAAGTAACTAGCTAGATTCCCCCTCAAACTTCTTCCCAATGGATGATCAACTTGCCCACACTGCTGCTCTCCGTAGCCAGAGTCATGGTGACCAGGCAGCTCAACATCAGGGTTCAAATGATCTCCACAGTCGATCACAATGTTGTGAAGCAGGCAACACACCAAGATAATGCTTGGCAGCTTCCGCTTATCGGGCCTCCACATCACCTTGCTGAGAATCCTCCAGCTTCCCTTCAGCTGCAGGAATGCCTTGGTAGCAAGTCCCCTTGCCCTCTCATGAACGTCATTGAATCCACTCATCGACGAAACTCCATCTCTCTCGTGCCCCGGAGTAACGAGCCAAGGAAGCAGAGGGTAGTTAACACCTCCGACGATGTACTCCCTGACTTCCACCCCTTCATCCAATGCCCTCAACCCGCCATTCAAACGTTCCCCACTCTGGCAACGCTTGTAAAACCCCGAACACCTGAGAAGCCTATCCACAGTCATCCCTCCGGGCCAGCCGGTGACAATGTCGAGGAACCTCGACTCGTGATCGACGATTCCTTGCAGGAACATGCTGTAGTTGTTCTCCTGGTCGCACCAGTCGTCCGAGGTCTCGACAGCGGGCAGGGTCATGGTAATGTGGGTTGCGTCGATGGCTCCACAGCAGTTGGGCAAGTGGAAGAGCTCCTCGAACTTGGTTTTGATCACCTCGTTGTTATCAGGCCACTTGAGATGGTGCCTTGCTCGATCCTCCATTGATTCGATGAATCTCCAGGTGACTTGAGAGACGGTGGATTGCCCGACACCAAATGCTGCTCCGACGGAGACCTGGGACTCGCCGGAAGCTAGCCTTCTCAGGGCAATGGCGACTTGCTTCTCCACGCTCAGGAGCCTTCCTTCGATGTTGATTAGCCCCGATGGAGGTCGGGAGATGAGATCTTCTCGCACGATTGAGCAGATGTACTCGAATGTCTTGGTGGAAACCCTGAAGAAGTACTTGAACCCTTGCTCCTCATCGGAAGGTATTGAAGATCCTGGGTATCCAAGAGTTCAAAATTCTCAGAGAATGGAATTGATGGAAGAGCGAGGGGGAAAATAAGAGAGCGCGGGGGCTGTGGAAATGGAAACCTGAGATGTTGGAATTCTTGTGCCAGAAATTGGTCCACCATTCGGAGTCGACGGCTGTTGGATCCACGGGACCGGAGCTGCTGCTTCTGATTCGAACTTTGGTCTTCTTCTTCTTCTTTTTCTTCAATTTCTTCGTCGCCTTCTTGCTCTTCTTAGGGTTCTTGAGAGGAGGAGCCATGGCGGCTTTTCACGGAGAGAGTAGCAGAGCCGCCACCACCGGCCGCCACCAACCCGAAATGTTCTGTTCGGAAGAGTGATGGAAGACTCCGCAGTCCATTAAGCGAAGTTCAGCAAAACTCAAAAGGCAAAACGACATGCCGTTTTGGTCCTTGCTATTATTATGTATAGTGTCTTTAGAGGCTTTACTCTACTCGTTTGAACTTGATACACAGTTTCTCCGGCGCCCTTGCTCACAGAGGAACGCAGCGATGGAGGGGATAAAGCAGCTGAAAATCGAAGTACTCGAGCAGCCGCCTTCGACGGCGGAGTTCGCATCGATAATTGAATCGAGGAACGTCCCGGCGGTAATTCTCTGCCTAGATTCAAGCAAGTTGTCCTGGTCAATTTTTCAGCCACAGTCTTTTACAGTCTACTCGTACTTCCTGTTCTTCAATCCTTGGTCGTTTTCGTGATAGGTGTTCACTGGCTGTGTTAAGAACTGGAGAGCTTTCGGAAAATGGGATCCTGCTAATGGAGGCCTCGACTACCTGCAGGTGATTTCATCCTAATTGTTGGCAAAAACGCTATTGATCCTCAATCTGTCTTATATTTTCTTGTTTGAATTGAAATGCTTAATCATCAGGAGCCTTTGCGCATTTTGATGCTTTGCTGCATTTCCTTCCTGTGTTCTGCTATACGCATGATTTTTTCTGCTGTTTGATTCTCTTATGAGAACGTTTGTTGAGATGATGAGATTGATTGACAAGTTTGTGTGATTAGTTGCCTTATTGTTGGGGGGAGAAGTTCTGTTCGGTTATGAATTATTATTGGAATACAGGAGCGAGTAGGATCAGCAAATGTGGAGGCTATGCTGTCTAGATCAGCACCTGTCTTTTACGGTGACCTTAGAAGCCACGAGAGGGTACTTCCTTACATGTTTTTGAACTTGAGCTTGCATGACATTAGCCTCTCTTAGTGTTGTTGTTGTTGTCTTTTGGATGTAGGTTCCTGTATCCTTTTCGACCTTCATTGACTTCTGCAAACAACGTGCACAAAACACTGATGATGCACGACATACTGCGTCTATTCCGCTACAAGGGGATGAGCTTCCAGTCTCTAATGCAAACCAGGAACGTGTACTTTCAGAGAGTATGTCTCACCAAGTATACTTAGCACAGGTAGGAACTGAGTGGTTTCGGGGGAAAGTAAGCTGTTTGATTGGATTTCATTTTGCTGACTTACGTGATCATTCCTCGGTTATTTTGAAACCCTATAATGTTTCCGTATTTGAGGCGTGCAATATTGTACTTGTTGTCAGGTGTCGATTATGAATTCCGAGGACAAGAACAAGGTTCAACTGGAAGCTCTCAGGGAGGACATTCAAGTGGTTGGTACCCATGGTTATTATTATACTATCTTTTATAGATAGAGTTTCTAAAGTTAATGGGTTTTTTTTAAATGTCAGCCTCCATTTCTGGAGACGAAAGAATTGATGTCTATCAATCTGTGGATGAACAATTCTGAAGCTAGATCAAGTACTCACTATGATCCACATCACAATGTTCTGTGTGTAATTTCTGGCCGCAAAAAAGGTTCGAGTTGCTTTCTTCGTTGTGATGTTATTCCCCTGGTTAAGCATACATACACCATTGCAAGTCCTCGTCATTTGCCACAGATGTTTTCTAGGAGGCCATTATTTGCGTTAGAAACTGCACTTTTTCCATTTGACAAGTCTCTGGTGTTTATATGATGCTTCCCATTTGAATTAGGTGATTCGCTTGCTCCTTTATGGAAAGCTGAAGTTTGACTAATTTGATTGAACTTCCTTTTTCACTGGGTTACATGTTGCATTAGGATAATGACCATGAGTAACGTTTGTGAACATAAAGATCTGCTTACTTGCGTTCTGTGCCTCATTGCTCTGTCCTTTAAGTTGGTTTCTGTTTCTTTTCCCCACTATTTCTTCTGCCATTTGCTTCAGCAATTTGTTCTGTTGCAGTTACTTTATGGCCTCCTTCTGCATCTCCTTCTCTATATCCAATGCCTATATACGGGGAAGCCTCAAACCACAGGTATGCTATATTTCCAATACCAAATGGGCTCTTAGTTGCTGCCTCATTCTCCACGGTTTATATTATGAAAGAAAATCGTTATTGGTTCCTGTTACACCGCTTTTACACTTCGCCTGGTTCCTGATTTTGTCATGTAATTTCTCTTGCTGTTTTTCTTGTGGCTCACAGTTCTGTTGCTCTGGAAGACCCTGATTTTTCATTGTATCCTAGAGCACAATACTCCATGGATTATGGTCAGGAGGTTTTTCTTTCCGCAGGTGATGCTATCTTCATTCCTGAAGGCTGGTGAGGTCTAAAATGTAATGGTCTGTTGATTAATTTGCTTTGCTTGAGCTCAGTTCATTGACTTCCTTAATGGTACAGGTTTCACCAAGTGGATAGCGATAATTTGACTATTGCAATTAACTTTTGGTGGCGGTCCAACATAATGTATAGCATGTTAGAACACATGGATGCATACTATTTGCGCAGAATACTGAGAAGGTATCCAACTTTATGCACAATTCAATTCATCTTTCTTATGAGTTTTAGGCTGCCTTAATTTGTATCATGATACTGAACATGATTTTATTGTCTTATCTAATGCTGCGACTTCCAGATTGACGGAGAAAGAGATGGTATGTCCCTCACCTTGCTATTTCAAGTAGCGCACAGGCAGTTGAAACAACACTCCTGCCCTTTTCCTTTTCCTTCAATTTGCTGCAATGTGCTTATTGTCAGCAATGCTTACGTTTTGTTTCTGCATGCTTTTTACTCAGTGACTTTAAATTTGTCCTTCTTTACACTTCAGTATATGTCTGTAACATTCCAAGAGGGAAGTAATCTTGGATTGTTCTCTTCAGAAAAGACAAATTTGTTCTGTTACTTGTCAAAGAATTTCCTTTTTCGTTATGGTCCTGGTGTTTCATGGATATAAATAGGATATGGTCCGTGAAAATCTAACACTTTCTTGTTTTAGATCATTAGCGGAAAATGTTTGGGAGATTTTGAATGGTTGAAATATGATTTCCGAAATTCCTAGTTTTGTCTGGTTGCTTTTGGTTGTTATCTTTGCTGAAGAGAATAACTGGTTCATGTCTTATCCAAAAGGTCGGAGTGAATTGAGTTGCTGTTATGCTTTTTTCCCCATATATAGATTGACATTGAAGCAACTGTAACATATTTCTAAACCACAACAGAACCAAGTTCTAGATGAGTCTGCACTTAAGGGCACTGGGAAACCGATAAGATGCACTTCTGAGCTGCTGGGGGATGAGAAAGCAGGTCAGTTTCAGTGCAGTAGTTATCACAGCAGGACTCTTTTCTTACTTCAATGCCATGGTAAAAGATTTCTGAATTATTCATGTATCAGTATTATGTTATCAGAATGGAGTCACTTAAATCTGGAACAGACGGGTCAGAGACAGGAGTTACCACTGAAGGACCAGCAGCAAGATGTTAAACTAAATCAGTTGGAACCTTTCGCACTACAGGCCCTTCATGAACTTGTTTCGTTAGTACATGACCATGTCAACCTTGATCAAAGTCAAGACAACAAAACAGTGACTGCTAACCTGTATTTCCTAGAGGATGACCGGGTTGCTAAAATAATTTGGAGCCTTGATCCACAAACTCTCCAAAATGTTCTCCTTGCAATGGTGGTGAGTTTGCAGTTGTTTTATGGTTTCCGTCTTTTGCATAGCATTCGTACTCATGGTTGTAGTTTCTGTTAATCTTGCGAGCAATATCCCTCATGGTGGCAAGGATTTTTCACTTTCTTATGTATACCTTTCCAGCATAGTTTCCCTAGAACCTTGGAGGCTCTAGTACTGCACTTGCTTTCACCAGTGGGAGCTGAAGTGCTTACAAGGAAGTTTGACGAAATTGATCAGCAATCCACAGAAGAACACCGGTATTATCAACTTAATAATTAGAGCATCCTATTGATTATGTACACTGATTCTTGGACTGCGCCTAAGAGTTCTTTCTTTTTCCCCTGTTTCAGAAACAAATTCTACCAGAAATTCTATAGTGCCTTTGATGACCAATTTGGTGCGATGGATGCAATACTTAATCAGAAAGAATCGTTTGCCCTCCAGGTATTCCCATCCGGCACATTTAGATCTGCCTTTCTGTGCATCTTTGTGAGATACCTTTCCATCTACTTGTATCAGGATATACACTCCTGACGTTTATAGGTGCTCAAAATGTTGATGCAATACTGGTTTGAAACTAAGCTGATGTTGGTTTTTGTTTGTTGTTTTATCCAATGATTCATTTTGACGTAAAATAGTTGTGAAATTTTACTGAAAATTTTGGATGGTGATAGCCTTATAGGGGCTTACCGTGATAGGTTTTTCTGTGGTCCGTTCAACTCTTAAACAGTGAACAGCATTTTATTTCTCACTTGCAAGTTGCAATGATAGCTTTCTTACATTATTTGGGCAACGATGTAACATGGGCCTGCCAAATGGATCGATAACAGTGACGCAAGCACACTTGTAGCACTGAGGTGGGGAAAGCCCATGCAATGCGTAACTCCATCTAAATGTTTTAGAACCCACTTACCCTGCTCCCGAGTTTTTGCTCACATGATAGTGTTTAGAGAAGCATTTCTTTCTATCTTAAGAGTCCAGCATTTGGGTGCTGTAAACTGGACTTGTACCTGTGCGTGGCATCTGAAGATTCTGATTCTTCAACTCTCTGATCCCACTTGTGCTAGGGAAACATTCCATTAGTTTGTTTTTGTATTCCCTTCCAAATGGTACTAGGTCCACCTTGTTTCACTCGTCTGAAATTTACATTGGGAAATTATGTCGTTCAAACCTATGATGATCATTCAAAAACCCATCAAGAGGTTGAAGTTCACTACAAACTCCTAAAAAAGAGTTGATTACTTGCTCGACTTCTGTCACACAAGTCCTTAGGTTTATGTCTTCGAAATGGGTGCAAAGTCATGCGTGTTTCTGAAATTTGCATGACCACAATCCAACTCTTTAATCTATACATTCCGTGAGAATTATCTTCAACTGTGGATCTGATTCTCATCGTAGTTATCTGATGAGTTATCTTCGAATTTGACCACGTTGAGCTTCGGCCCCAATTGAGCAGTCTCTTTTAGAAGGGTTTATCATGCAAGCAAAGGCCTTTGGGTTACTCTTTTGTTGATTCCCTCGGCACTTTTCTTATCATCATAACCAGCACCTTCTTCGTATATGAGTTGAACTTTATGTGCATTTGGCATGAGCATGAGCATCTGCATCTTTTCTCTTTTATCCTTTAGTTGAATGCGGGTAGGCAGTGCAAAATCTTTCATGCATTCCCATAAGCAATCTTGTAGTAGTACGTCATATAAAGGTTCGGAATTTAGGCACCATGTTAACACAACCAGACTACTAGAAGTGGAGCAGTTGCAGTTTAGTTTATCTTGTTCAAGTTTGAGCTTTCAGAGTTGAGACTAAACAAGGCTAGTACAGTTAGAATGTGACTTGGACATCGCTAGGGATTCTTTTTCCGCAATATATTATTCTTTTTAATGTAAGATCCGATATTATTATAATTCTTACAAATTAAACACTGTATGGATTCTTTCAATCACACACAGAACCTTACGGAGTTGTTGAAATCTCTGTACTCTAAATTACGTGTTTGGCTCCTAATAATGAGTTTTTATTACGTCCGCAGGCATTCAAGGAAACGTTGGAGAAGTACATTGGGGTTGTTCCTAATTCGCTAAAACCGTCGGTTGGATAAGCCCCGCGGCCAAAGATGCAGACTGCAAACGTCAGTGGCGAATCTGAGGGCCACGTGATATCAACACAAAGAAGAGTCAATGGAGGCATTACGGTATCACGAGCTGGCTGGCTAGCTTTCTGTCTAAATCGGTACTTTCATTTCATGTGAGTCATCCACACATTTTTTTTTTTGGGACAAACATACAATGATTGCCATCTCTGAATCGTTGCCTTGCTTTTTTATTTTCGTAGCTGTCAGAGATGCCATATTATCATACCATCCAAGTTATTCGGCTTTGAAATTTAGTTTGCGATGTACAGATTCCTGTGTACATCATGTTTAATGCGAGAAGATCTCTTCTTGTAGCTTTGTAGACCCTAATTAGGAGTTCATCATGCTAATCATAGAATTCGAACTATGTACGAGCGAGCAGCATCATGAAGCAATGCAGGATGATGTCTTGAAGCTAATTCGCCGCCCTTTGTCGATTAGGTATGTGTTAAGTATTAACTTAAGTTTAGTAAAGGAAAGGAGGTGATGATATGATATGATGTAGGAGATGCAACTTTTCAAAGGTGCAGTTGTGTGGTGGAAGAAGCAGAGGAGAAGAAGAGAAGGATTCTGTCTCTTTTGGTTTCCTTTATTCTTGAATTGAATTAGGGTGAAGCTGATACTCATGAGGCCTGTGGAAAAGAAAAAAAAGGGGTAAGGAAAGGAGAAAGAAAGTGTTGAGAGGGGCCATGGCAGTTGCATTGCACTGCATGGGGATTTGCAGGAGAAGGAGAAGGAGAAGGAGAAGGAGAAGGTTACAGAGAGAGAGAGAGAGAGGAAAGAGTATAGTGGTAATTATGAGGGAAGAAGGGGGAAAAAAGGGAAAAGGGAGGGTAGTGAGGGTAAAAAGAAGGTGGTTAAGATGAGATTCCGCCCATGGAAGATGACATATGCAAAGTACTATATGTTGAGAGAGAGAGAGAGAGAGAGAGAGAGAGAGAGAGAGTGTGTGGTTTATACTTTTACACTTTGCAATGGAAGAGAGGGGAGCTTTTGGTTTGTCTGGTTGTAGAAGAGAGGGAGCTGGGAAAAGAAGCAGTCTTTTTCGTTAGGCAAATAGCATGTATTTGTACCTTAACCCTGTTTGCAACTTACACTCCCTATGCTTTCTAAAAGCTTGGATATACCCTAAACCCAAATCCTTTCTTTGCTTTTCTGAATCCCTAGGTTCTTGCTGCCTCTCTTGATGGATATGCTTTAACTTTGGGGCTGGGTTCGTTGAATATGTTTCATCCACTTATTCCTGAATAAGGTTTATGGTGTCTACGAGTTAGGACGTTTTTTTTTTTTATAATGGCGATTTAACTTTTTTTGTTGTTGTTGATATGGTGTCTACGAGTTAGGATGTTATAATGCGCTAATGGCCATTGGATCGTAGAGCATGAGGTAACGGTATTGATGTCGAATAGTATAACAATCTCTAATGTGTCAATGATCGTTGGATAACGATAATATTAAAATGTCCTAACCCAATAACTGTTATGACCATAGCATTATTGGATATACATATACATTGGGTCATGCATGGTTGTCACGACACGTGCCCATTATGAGTCTGCTAAATTATGTTGTACATTTGTGCTTAATGAACCTCATAAAAATATATGTCACGCTAGTCGTCACTTTGACAATCTTGCTTGAGGGGCATGAACTCAAACAAGACTTTGAGTCGCACCATTTTCTCGAAGGCAACTTATCACAATTTGTATTTGGATGTGTCTCATCTATGTGCCTCATCATTTTCTCTTCATTTTTATGTTAAATTTTTTATGTTATATTGATGATGAATGACATTTAAGTTTTCTACCATATAGTCTTTACAAAAATTTATTCGTATTATTAAACTAAATAATTTTATTGCAAGTAAAATTTATAAGTTGTTAGCAATGTAGACGAAATTTAGTTTCTATGTAAAAGCGAAATGATGGGTAAAAGTAGAAGCGTAAAACCGAAGCGTAAAAGCGTAAATTCTTAAATTTTCTATAAATATTTTAGAAATTTTTTACCAATAAATTTTATTTTGAAAAATATAAACAAATAAGTGAACTAGCTCATATAGTCATATATCAAAGATAATTATCGCACACACAAACTAAATTCATACGACCTTCAAAATAATTTAATAGACTTAACATGCTTTTTCCGTCTTCCTAGAAAAACTTATATTGATGATGAATGACATTTAAGTTTTATACCATAGTCTTTACAAAAATTTATTCGTATTTTTAAGCTAAATAATTTTATTGCATGTAAAACTTATACGTTGGTAGCAATGCAGTCAAAATTTAGCTTATATGTAAAAGTGAAATGATGTGTAATAGTAGAAGCACAAAACTGAAGCGTAAATATTTTAATTTTCTATATATATTTTAGAAATTTTCTATCAATAAATTTTATTTTGAAAAATATAAACAAATAAGTGAACTAGCTCATATATCAAAGATAATTATAACACTCATAAACTAAATTCATCGACAACCTTCAAAAAAAATTTAATAGACTCATCATTTCGCTTCTACTTTTACCCATCATTTCGCTTTTACATAGAAGCGTAAAACCGAAATTTAGTTTCTATGTAAAAGCGAAATGATGGGTAAAAGTAGAAGCGTAAAACCGAAGCGTAAAAGCGTAAATTCTTAAATTTTCTATAAATATTTTAGAAATTTTTTACCAATAAATTTTATTTTGAAAAATATAAACAAATAAGTGAACTAGCTCATATAGTCATATATCAAAGATAATTATCGCACACATAAACTAAATTCATACGACCTTCAAAATAATTTAATAGACTTAACATGCTTTTTCCGTCTTCCTAGAAAAACTTATATTGATGATGAATGACATTTAAGTTTTATACCATAGTCTTTACAAAAATTTATTCGTATTTTTAAACTAAATAATTTTATTGCATGTAAAACTTATACGTTGGTAGCAATGCAGTCAAAATTTAGCTTATATGTAAAAGTGAAATGATGTGTAATAGTAGAAGCACAAAACTGAAGCGTAAATATTTTAATTTTCTATATATATTTTAGAAATTTTCTATCAATAAATTTTATTTTGAAAAATATAAACAAATAAGTGAACTAGCTCATATATCAAAGATAATTATAACACTCATAAACTAAATTCATCGACAACCTTAAAAAAAAAATTAATAGAAACAACAAGCTTTTTCCGTCTTCCTCCTGCTTTCAGGAAAAAAGAGTATGAGAAGAGGAAGTCATTGACAACTGAGAAGCTATAAGGGTTGTAGGTAGGGATGGTAATGGGTAGGGTCGGGTGTGGGTTTACCCTATACCAACTCCTAACCCGTCGGGTAGAGCCTTCTAAAATATCCGACCAAATAACCACCGGGTATGAAAATTATATAATCATACCCTACCCACCGGGTAACCATGGGTACGAATCCTAAATTATGAACTTATACACATATATGCACATACATACTGTTGTCCATTAAAAATTCTCAATACTTGTAATTGTTCTAGCTTCAACAATCCACACAAATAAAAATAGCAAACACATAATAATTGTTCTTGTTTCTACAATCCACACAAACATAATAATCGTCTAAATCTTCATCATCAATAATGGTAGCTAAACTCAATTTCTCAAGCTAATCTAAATTTCTCAAGGGAAATTGACCCTTTGGTTAGCGGGGCGAGTATAACAGGGCGGGTATTATCGATTACCATACCCGTACCCTACCCTTTATTTTGAAACCGGGTATTACCCGTACCCGCCCCTTAACCCGTCAAAGCGGGTAATTACCCTCGTTGACCGGTTACGGTCGGGTAGGGTACCCATGGTTACGGATCGGATTGACATCCCTAGTCGTAGGAAAATTTCAATAATATGTAAAAGTGGTGGCAAATGGTAGGCTGAAGGATATGAGTTTCGATGACAACGAAGTCACAGGGGTGTGGTGGGAGTTGTAGGGATGAGAAAGGACTCTGGGGACAAGAATTTAGATGCAGTGTCTACTGGTTTTGTAGACAGAGAAAAGACGAGAATGGAGAAGCAGCTCGCACTCGGTAATAAGACTAAAACATGGATTCTTTCCCATAGACTGTGGTGATGATTAGGAATAATGAATTTGTAGAAGGAAAGACTGTAAAATAAACATGACTAAAAACAAGTGAAAATGCATAATTTTTTCTCTTCGTTTTAGCAAAACCAAATCAAACTCGACCCCAACATGGTACACTGTGCACCGATTTGTTCTAGAGAAAACTTCACCAAACCAAAATCGAACGAATATAATGCAATCCGGTCCTTGATGCTATGAGTTTTATAAATTCTGAAGGAAAATGAACTTGATTGATATTTGGACCGAATCATACTAGACCGAATGCAATGTTGGTACGATCCTTGGTCCTAATTTTGATTTTGATTTTCTACTTTTGGAATGCAGCTCTCAAGGTTTAGCCTGGATTGGTTCAAATCAGATCATTGCACACACCTATAAAATTGTCCTATTACCCGGATTTTAAAAAGCGGTTTAAAATCTAGCTTCTAAAGCTTTTACTAGGATTGATGGTGTTACTTAGACAGTTAGACGTTTGGTGCAAAAAATGTGTTGAGCAAAAGCTACAATATTTGAGATGTTCAAACTTGAAAGCATAGACTTTTTTTTTTTTAAAGTGGTGATATAGTTTTATTACTTTAAAGAAAAAAAAAAGAAGGTAAATAAGATACAGACACGACTGGTGATATTGTTCAAAGCATAGACTTTTAGATTTTAAAACTAGATTTTGGCTGATTGAGAGTAAGTAAATATTAGTACAATTTGCAAGGTTAAATTATTTACTATTATGAAAATAAGTAATTTTTGTTGAATAAGAACATGTTAATTTTTCTCAAGAAAGACTCAATTTTTCGTATCTAAATGATCTGAAATAAAAATTACATAAGGTTGTGTTTGGTTAGAGGGATTTGTATTTGGTATTTGAGTTTTAGATTTCCAAATGCCAAATCATTTGTTTGAATATTAATTACATTTGTATTTGGATTTGTGCCAAATTCATGGGGTGATTTTCAAATACATGTCTAATGTATTACTTGTCAACTTCAAATATATTCTAACAACTAGTGAGTTGAAATTACTCATAACAAATGATTGGACCTATTTGTAACATTTTAAAAGTTTAGGTACTGTAGTGTGAGGAAAAATATATAAAGGTACCAAATTGTAATTTTATCACCAAAATTTTAGGACCTTTTTGTAAAATTGTAAAAGCTTAGGTACTAAATTGTAAGAAAAAATAAATTTGGGTACTAAAATGTAATTTTCCAAATTTCATAAGTGACCAGAAATTTTAAAATTAAAATAAAAAATGGAAAAATCTAAAATACCAACAAATTACGATTGAGTAACCAAACAATGAAGTTGAATTACATGTATTTCAAATACACGCATTTTAAATATATACATTTCAAATACATTACATTTGAAATACACCTATCCAAACGCATATGTTGTATTTATACAATCTATGTAGTGCTTATACCCTGTCTAATCGTACAAATATATGTTGTGCAATTCGTAATCAAATAGAAGAGTTGCGAGCTACTTGATTCTAGGGGGATGCATGGGTTTGTGATTCTTAGGGGTCATTTGGATGCAGGTTTTGGGTGTGGGATTTGGGCACAATCCTACATAATGTGGAATTTTATTAAAATCACTCGTTTGGAAAGCAATTATATGATAAAAGATTTTAAATATTAGAGATTTCAGAAACCCACAATTGTGGGATTATGAAATAGCTGATAGTGATCAGCTATTTTAAAATCCCACACAAATTCCACAAATTAAAAATCTGGGTTTTTAAACCAGTGATTTGAGCCAAAATCCCACAAATGAAAAATCTGGATCCAAATGACCCCTTAGGGTATTCGTGAGTTGACCTATTGAGTCTCAAATCTCAATGAGCGTCTATGAAGATAATAAGAGTGCCACAGAATTGCTATTAATTTGGTTCTGCATGATAGGACGAAACATATCGATGTTATGTGCATTAATCAGACAGTTGATGATAAGAGTGCTATTTAGGTGGTATCTTCCGATTGAAAATCAGATGACATACAATCTGATTAAGGTAGTGGCATCGAGTGG